AATGATTAAATGGGAAAATAATAGATCGATGATAGCCGAAATTCTTCATTTGATCGCAGTGGTGAAATTTTCGCCAGAAGCATTGCTGCTGGAAGAGGCCTGAGTGTTTACTTGCTCATCTCGCTCGTCACCCTCACTCCCAATTTCGTCTGTAGCAACCTCCCAACGAACAAAATCAAGCAAGTGCATGCGGTTGAGTGTAGCCACCTCTCTCACTGTCAGCGATTCATCAAAAATAAATGGTTGTTCTAGCAGATGACTATCCTCGTCGGGTGGCCGAGTTGATAAATTTGCTTCGTTTGATAGACCTAAATGTGCAGGTAATTAATAGAGGTAGATGTCACCAAAGTGAGATAAACTGGAAAAAGCAATCGCCTATACATAAATTAATGGGCCTCGGGCATAAACAATGAGATGAGTCTACGCCAAAATCTACCCCGGCCGATAACCAAGCAAAAAAGTGAAGCTTACGGCAAATGTAAGAAAAATTTGGCAGCAAGGCTAACCAAAATTTTCCGGATGCAAGTCAGTAGGACGAGTTTAACTGAAAATAAATGAACAGCAACCGAAACAAAATTTTTCACCAAATACGAATTGAGTCATGCGTGCAGTATAATTCAATTAGTCTACGACCATGCGGCTCAAATGTATTTCCCAACTAATCCAAATCCAATTAAAGAGGTAAAATGGAGACCGATGAAGGAACAACATTGCTACTCATTCTATATTATGAGTTTTAAGGATAAATGCCGAAGCGAATTTTTGCAAAAATAAAGATGCTAAATTTATCAAGAGGAGGCAATAATTCCGATGTGATTTGGATAATTAGTTCAAGGAGGAAAATTGCTTGAGAATGATTCAGGAATTCGCCTGGCTGGAAGGCGAAGGGGGATTGCCTTTGAGTAGAGATTGTCGGATTGTGCTAGGAAGTCTGGGATCACCATTTTTTGAATCCAAATAATCAATGATAGTTTTCTGTTATGCGACATACACCGACAGTCAAAAACCGTTATTTACAAAAAAAAACAAAATAAACCAAGGTAGCGAGCCGCTATCATATGCCAGTGAGGCAAATTCGTTTACCTCTTCCAACCAAATGTTCACGAAAAAATATGCAGATAATAAAGTAAAACTATTTATTTCAGAATTATCTATGCATATTTATCGAGACGGAATGAAAAATAAAGCTTCGGAATAAAAGGCACATAATGTATTATTAAGAATAACAAATTCTGAAATATATTCAGATGCCTATTCGAAAATTCAGTCATAACTTATTTCAGTGTAGCTGGAATATCCCAACTCATGTATGTAAAGATGCACAGGGCAATGTATCGCAAAATATAAAAGAATCAAAAGCAAGGGAAAAAGGAAAACATAATTTTTTTATAAGTTGACTTAAATTTATCTTATATAGAGCAACTAATATAATATTAGCTGATTCATATTTGTTGGAGGACAAAATATTAATTAGCTAGGAATGTCTAACCGAGAAAATAAGCCTTACATAAGATAAAAATTAATTCAAATTCTAGTCTTAAAATCAAAGCATATGACGGTGCATGTATGGATTAGGCAAAAATATATTCACATATATATATATATATGACAATCTATAAAGGGTGTCAATGAATCTACATACCATAACATATGTGGCTCTTAGGACAATCTGAACGGCTCTACTGGGCCAAAAGAACTGCGAGATAAGTGCGCTTTAGTGAATACATAATATAAGCGTTGTTATAATAAACAAATGATTAAAAAAATTATAGCGAATGCCGAATACTGAAGGTCTGATTCTACACAGATTTTGCTATATATTTTTAGTGACTAAAATCCTGGTTCTTACCGACTGGCACGGAAGACAGAAGGCCCGGAAGCGGATTTAGGCCGATAATATGCTGGCAGATCTGTCGTCCAACCAAGGCGGCCTTGCCTTTCCAATTCTCAGGCAGATCACCAGACTAAATCAAGAAACGATAGATTATATTTTAACACAACATTGATTTTCAAATTAAAAGAATACAGATAAAACGAGTAAAAAAGATGATTTAAAAACGTTTGTGTCAAATTCTGCCATTGGAAACTGTATGAAGCGAATAGATGATGGAGCTGAGGATGGTGTAGTATACAATGTATTACATTACCATGATCTTCCCTTTATGGGTAAAAATCACGAGTTCAATTCCCATGACTTTTGACCTGGTCAGTGCATGTAAAAAGTTAAGATTTGGCTGAAGGTTAGGCAATGTAATAGGCGCTTACGAATAAGATAAGTTCGTACTAGAGCAATGTGGTGGAATAACCCCTAGTAAAATTAATATCTAGTCTTTTAAATCCCGGTATAGTGAGAAAAATGGAATAATCATCCTTCGAATCCCAGGATTCACCACACCGATGCTAAGACTATATCTTTCGTAATGTGTAAAGGAAACTTAGGCTCTTTTGGATGCTATGCCAACTAGTATATATTTCAATAAAAACAACAGTTTCGAAATCAAAAGATAATTACCATGGCTTGGTAACGGACAATACTAGCGTATTTTCCGAAGTCAACACGACCTTTACGAGAGGAAAGTCCAGAGGAACTCTGATGAGCATATGCAGCTAAACTTTCGGCAGCTACATTTGAACCGACACTAAGGCCCACTGCACGATTAATTGCAATACTCTCGCCAATTTTATTCAGCGTTAAGGCAACCATATCAGCAAGGCTATGAGTGTTGTCGAGATTAAGTTTACTAAGAGTATGCATATCCCATTTGGCGCGGCAAGGATAAGAAGAGTTCTAGGAATTGCAAAAGTAAACATCTATAAGAAAAAAGATTAAACGCTCATAATAAAATTAAGAATGCTAAAAAAGAAATGTTGATATTTCAACCCAACTATTGCGATAATATGAAGGAGTTGGATACAGAACAATAAAAAAAACAACGTAAAGATCGACTCCAAATATATAATTGCCATCACTAATAGCAAATAAAGGTTAGTAAAAAATAAAAGATCCAATTATTAGTAGACCTATCAATGAGCTGTCCAAATCCTGACCCATTTAAGTTTAAGTGATTACCGGAGACAGCAAACGAATCCAAATGAGAATAAAAATAAGCAGCTTTAGATACAAATACAAATTAAGGCCAAACATTAACAAATGGATTTTTCAAAATCCTTAAAATATTAGTGGAGCAAAATTAAAAACAAATGTTAAACAATGCATTAAGAAGGACTATAAAGAGTTGGGAAAAATAGGCATGAATTTCTAAGAATAAAAATGTAGCGATAACAAAATTTAAGCTATGGCCTGGAATATAAAAATGGGACACAAATAAATTTTTTTTGAAACATATCACACAGGGCCAGCTGGACGGTATCAAAACGATTAAAATTTTTATATTGCCATTAAGAGTTTATGGTATTGTTCGAACACGCAAACTAAAAACTACAACTTGCACAATGTTTCACTTTGCTTTTCATATGCAAGCGCTGAGGGAAAACTAAGAAATTGAAATAGAACTCAAATAAGTACCCTAACATGATATTTAAAATGTGATCTTATCTCAAGCCTAGCCCTAGGTGACAAACATGATTAATTTTCAAAAAGTATAAGTCACCATTATAAGAAGGGCAAAAAATTCCACCAAATACTCACCATAAAATTCTTAAGTATGCACTCACCAGCCTTCTCAACCAAAATTTGAAAATCAGGATTTCTAGCCACAAAATCGGTCTCACAATTGACTTCGACAATGACAGCGTGAGAATTAGTAGCAGCGAGACCCAAAACTCCCTGAGTTAACGTATTATTCGAATACTTTCCAATCTTGGCCCATCCTTTTTTTATTGACTCTTTGCGAATCCACTCAAGTGCCTTATCAAAATCATCATCATTTTTATTTAGAGCTTCTCTGCAACTACTAAGGGGAAGACCTGTATGTTTTCGCAATTTCGCCAGCGAAGATATGTTTGTCTTTGAGCTAAAGTAAGATATTTTGATTGAGCTGTGGAATTTTTTTGGAGAAAAAGATTGAGCTCGAAAGAATAGGAGACGCAAAGAATGCATGAATACGGAAAGCGACTTGAACTTAGTGGTATTAGAGAAGTGATTTAAACACAAAAAAGTGTTCAAGATTGACCACATAAGATTTGTTAAAAGTAAAAATAAATTTATTCTTAATGCCTTGTGCAGCTAATTATTTTTAACAAAAATGAGTGTGGATTAACTTATAAATGTATTTTTAATTCGTTGATTAAATCTGTTAGATAATTAAATTATGTGAAATCCATCAGAAGGAATAAATAAACTGATTTATTTAAATACCTGGACATCTAAAGGCTATGTGAGATTATAGTTGAAGATAAATGACGTATAAATGTATAAGCAACAACAGATGTTACTTATTCGTCAATAATTATGTGGAATTATTACTGCACTGTAACTAAGCTACTTGGCTGGGATTTGTATGATATAACTTCACAAAGAAAAACAATTCTTTTACGGAACCATGCCTAGAAATATTCTTAGATTATTCATAGGGTTGTAAAAGTGAAAGCACAGCCAAAGAATTTTATCGGCAGAGGATAAATGTAGAGGAAGGGTAATTTTTTAGTCCTAAGTCAAGTTAAAATATGTAACTTTTGGCCATATCTGACTTGATTTATTTATCAATACGCTAACTTAGATGTTTACATTACATTACTCATACTTATATCATATTACAGGAAAAAAATTATAAAAATCCCTTATTGCTTTATTAGTCATCCATATACATGGATAGGAATACCTATGCCAGACTTATTCAATAAGCCCACATTAAGGATTCAGCCATGAGTAGACTGGAATATTGAAAATTGATAATAACAGCACATTAATCTAAATTGTAAGAGTTTTGATCTTAGCTTTTTATGTAAAGAAATTTTGGGATATTTTGCACTTATAAAGGTAAATATTCTTGCTTAACACCCATTTTGTACCATAGATAATAACTTTTCCTTGGAGAAAAAATGAAAATTTATGGCTTTAGTTAAGACTGCCTAGGATTTGACAAAATATACCTTAAATTATACCTTAAATTTCACATAGCCTTGCTTTCCCAAAAGTTGTTCTCGAAACTGCAGTCCATTTTCATTCATCATTTTAAATAACGAATAGTATAAAGGATGTAAGAATATGCATATCATGCTAATCGACGACTCCCTCAATAAAAAGTAAGAGTTTTTCTAGCCAGGTTTCCGTTTTTGGACTCGCATTTCAAGTATAAATTGATTTAATTTAATTATAAACTTAAACAGAGAAAAACTAATTTCATTATTAAATATAAATAATTTTGGTGTCACACTCGATAGTTAACTCCTAGTTAAATGATGCCTCATTTCAGGCACAATCTATGCAGTTTATTAATCACTGCCAAAATGGGAT